CCTTTTTATATACTTACGATTGGAAAGAGAGATACGTTTTGGTTTAAAGGACAAAGTCTTGGCTCAGAATGTTTGCATCTCAGCAGTTTATGAAGGCAGATAATGGGAGTGTAGCAACAGCAGATGGGTCTTATTTGTGGCAAGTAAATAAGCGATTACAAATAAAAAAAATATGAATTTAAAGTAAATTTATGTCTAAATACGTATAAATTATGTCGTTAAGACATTATCAAATTTGAGTTTTTATTGTACTGCTATATTATTATTTTTTTGTGAGTTATTTATAAAAAATAACTTATTTACTATATTTTATTATTTTTATTATTATGTAAAAAAGTATTACATATATATAATTTTATATACAAATAAGTTTTTTGGATAAAAAATAGCTATTTTTTTAATTCCAATGAATATTACTGTTTAATATCATTTTTTTGGACTATAAACTTTATATATTTTAATTAATATTTTGTTAAAGATTTAATGGCCACAAACGGTTTCTTAGATGACTCAGCCGTAGAAATTATTCCGTCGGTCTTTGTTCGAAACTTTCTTGTTTTACTCACAATAGATGTAGGATTCGAAATATTCAAAACTCTCATATATCTCGCTTTTGAGTCCTTTTGTTTTGTAATATATAATATATTTTCAACATTTCCTATAGATATTTGATAAAAGCGTTCCACAAGTAGGTAGTTGTAAGAAAGAATAATTATATCATTTTTTTCACCAAATTCTACAATAAGAAAAATGTAATATTTTAAATAAAACTATCTTTTCGGATTATTTCGCGGATTTATTTTGATTTTTGGTTCCCGACGTTTCGAATGCTTTACAGCATCCATGGTCACGGGAGAGAATAAAAATCAAAATAATACGGGGAACCAAAAATCAAAATAAATCCGAGAAATAATCCGAAAAGATAGTTTTATATAAAATGTCAAATATTCGCGTAAATCTAAGAAAGTAAAAATGTAATATAAACGACCAACCACGAGAATATAATATCAAAATGAAAACGTACATATTTGACGACACGTTTGATTAGGTTTGTAGTGACCCTACTTGCTGAGCCAGCAGTGCGGGTTCGAGTCCTCTGGTATGTAGATAGCAGGCCTCGTAGCTTATCATGGAACTAGATGGTGCTAGTGTTAATGTCCCAACATATTTATTTATATTTATTTTTTCTAATATTATAATAAATCTAGTATATTTAACTGTTTATTTGGATTTGAATTATTTTTTTGCTAAAATTTGATTGATCAATAATTGTTGAAGAGGTCATCTTACATAAGTATGACTCTTAGGATCTTTAGATCTCTGCTTACAGCAATATATAAATAGACTAAGCAAGCGAAGCTGCGGGAAAAGCTAGTCTAAGAAATGTTCATAAACATTTTTAGCTATAATGAAAGCAATATGGTTAGATGTACTTACTAGTTATTGCCAATGGATTTTGAGCAGTATGTTATCGATATTTACGAATTATATTTAGCATTTTATTTCTAAACCACTGACTCAAGTTATATTTGAATTTGTAAGATAAATTATAAGTGCATTTATGGTTACGTGGTTTCGTAAGTTTTGATGAATTTGGAAATCTTTCAAAATACGCATATTCTAAGTTTTGAGGTAATGACTAGAAACTTTACATTTAATATTAAAAGTTTTGGCAAGTTAAGGTAACCGTCGCTAAAACCTGTTTTCTTGCAAATATTCTGTAAAATCTCTGCAAATATTATGCAAAATCTAGAATGTTGAATTTTTTTTATAAACCACACCACAAATTTTTTGTTTTTCAATTCACCAAAATTGTCGTAACAATTAATCAATCCACCAGTGATAATTTAAGAAAGTTTCTAATAATATTAATATTTGTATCATAGACTAATTCATTTTATGAACCACTTGCGTTAATCGTTAAAATATAGTAATTTGATTAAAATAACATAATTATCTAAAGTAAACGTCAAATTCTGCTTTTAGATGTTCACTCAACATATTCGTGTGATATCCAATTTACGTGACATTAACGAAGTAATCTTTGCTCAACTAGTTCGCTTTATTTTGAAAATATTAAAAATATTGTAATTAAATTAAGAATTTTCATATAAATGAGTTATGTAAAAATTATCTATGCTAAAAGCATTCTAGCGCATCCATGCAAAATGTCGTCTAAAAAGTTTTATTCATAAAATTAGGAAGGAGTGCGGATTAAAACAAGATGGCACTCTACAATCGCTGTAGAAATTATGAAAATTGTATTGAAATCAGTGGCGTAGCTATGCCAATGCTAACAATGCGGTTGCATTGGGCCCCTAATTCAAGGGGGCCCCAGCTTACCACAAACGAATCTTTTATTTCAAAAAAAATTTTAAGGATGGTCCTCTTATAAGTTAAAAAAAACCGCAAGAAAAAAGTGTCCTATATTTCCGCATATTTTTTTATATTTTTTTTGCATTAGGGCCCAAAAAGGATAATTACGCCACTGATTGAAACACTTAACTTAAGAGTTTGCATTGAGATTTCTATTTGTAAACAATTGTGGAATATCATCTTGCCAACGCTAAAAAAATTCCGTCCATATATGAAGAAATATAAGAAAATTTTAACAAAACCAATCTCGTTTCTTTTATTGATGAAATAAAAATTCAAGAAGCATCTAGAGTTTATAAAAACTTCTATAACAAGTTTCTTGTATTCCAATCAGGACAAGTTTCTGCTGTATCTCGGAAAGTTCCGATATCCATTGAGAAACTATAGTAAAGCTAAACAGACCAATATCGAAAATAACTGAACTCAAACTCGCAGTTTTCAAACTAAAATTAAAACTTACGAAGGAAACGATAATTTCATAGCTAAGTAATATTTTTTACTGAGTAATAGCAATAGCTTTTTAGTCCTTAGTCAATTAAAAAAATAGGTCAGTTACAATTATTTATATTTTTTTGTGTTGGCGTAGTGGTCGAAATTTGATCATCATCATTAATGAAAATTGGAGGAAGGTATTTATATATATATATATATATATATATATACATATATATATAATATTATTGTCTTATTCCAGTCCTATTAGAAGACGAATTACTACTAACGAATTTGAGGTCTTTATAATATTCAGAAAGAATATTTAAAGTGATAGTTATTAGAAACTTGTAAATGCTCTGCACTTCAGTTTTTCATTAATTTTAATTGTGAAGACAGTTAATATAATCTTCAGATTTTACAATCGTAACAAATTATTGTTTTTAATTATTATTTTAATTATTTTTTTGGATATTTCATAGTATCAGAAACCTCACTTAATAAATTTGTGATTATTGGTAAATACATTAATCCCGTAGATGAGCATTGTGATATCCAAGCGAGTTTCTCTGAACATATGGCACTAATATTCAACGGCGTCCAACTCATATTGGCACTACAAACTAAAGAAATTTATTTCAATTTATATGGCCCAACATTGATTAATTTAACAAATATATAGTACAAATGTAACAGCAGTTCGAATGATACTCATTCTTTAGTAATTTTTCTCGAAAAACTTTAAATAGAATGGTTACTCCTTTTAAAATTTGCAAATATTAACATTTTTTTCAAAGAATCTCTACAAGGTCACAAAAAATTTGAAAAAGTACGGACTCGCGCGTTAGAGGTTCTGTAGCACCGCACAATACCGATATGTATGGCGTTACATAAATGTGCACTAATATAATAAAATTTTATATTTATTATACTAAGTATAGATTATTATTTTTCGATAAAGTAAATACAAAAAAAAACACAAAATCTAACTTCTTTTTTACTTAATATAGCTTAATAGGCATCTGAGAGACCCTTCGGTTATGGAACTCTATAAATCAGATGACCGTCGTAGCGCAGTGGAGATGTCTGACTGGAGGACTAGCATATAGTGCTGAAGGTTGCTCAGTTCGAATTACCTTTTGTTTTATGTTATTTTTTCTTATTTTACTACATATCAAAAAAGATACCTTTTGAAATATCGCTTCATAAATAATTATATTATATTCACAATAGTAGCAGTGAGAAATGGTGTATTGATTGACAGATGTGCTTCCTACTAAAAATGGTACTTTGTTATAAAAATAACGATAATCTACTGATTAAAAAAAACAGTATAATGTCATACATCTTATACAATGTAAATAATTTTTATTTTATTTCAAAATGACCCTCACATATGATGGACGTAGTCGTAACATCATAATAAGGAGGACTTTTAATAAAATACTGTGTATATTATTTAATATTTTTATTATTGTACCCTCCAAAATCTGTTTTGTATAAATAATAACTTTGTTTACGTTTTTCCAAACTTAACAAGATGAAAATCTTTTTTTCTATTATATTTAAAAATAAATTTTATAGTATAAAATTAATGTATTGTTAATTTGTTAAAATATGCTTGAATTGCTTTGATCTATAAAAAAAATTAATTAACATTATACTTTTCAATGGATTCAAATGCTCAGCAATTTAAAAAAATAACATAAAAATGTTTTGCTCTAAAATATGTATGTATGTATGTAGTTAGAAAATAATCTAAATAACTTACAAAGGAAAATAACAGTGTAAGCTTATCAAAAAAATATAGTTCTTGAACAAAATATCTATTTCAGAGCAGAGAAATTATTACACTAATAACTAAATGCAAGCTAACCTTGAACAAGAATTAACTTAATAAAGCACAAAATGGTAACATTTTTATATAAAATTAACATAAACATTTTGCTATTCAATTTAAATTTTTGTATTTACAAATTTTATTTTTTTAAATATTATATACTAAATAGATGTATTCAGCCCTTTTTAGTGTCCCACTGCTGGGCACGGGCGCGAGAGATTAGACCATAGTCAACCACGTTGGCCAAGTGTTTCCTCAGGATGCTTTTGATTCACCATAAAGCAAAATGGTAATCATGTTGAAAAAAAACATAACTTATTTAATACTAAATAATTGTATAAATTAATATTTATAGATAATCTTCTTTAATCATATCTGACGCTTTTTCTGCAATCATTATGGTAGGGGCATTAGTGTTACCCCTTACTATCTTAGGCATAATTGAGGCATCAATTACTCTTAATTTATTAATACCATACACTTTTAATCTTGGATCAACAACCGCTTCTTTATCCCATACTGGACCCATTTTGCATGTTCCTACAGGATGGTATATAGTGGCTGTATACTCTATAAGAAGACAGGCAAAGTAATCGTACGTACCCCAAATATATTCGGTACACCCTGGTACAGGTGTTTTAACAAAGCTAGCACCACTATACTTAAAGGCATCCGTTTCTTCTAAGCTAACTGCAAATCGCATTCCTTCTATTAACACATCTAAATCTTCTTTGATCGTGAAAAATGACGGATAAATCAATGGTGGACCAAATACCGGGTCAGTGTGATTCAAAAAAATGACACCTCGGCTCTTAGGTGTTAACAAAAGTGGTCTTGCAGCCAGGCCATTGTAAAAGGATAATGGAAAAATATTTGTTGCTATATACGTCGTTGGATCTGAATAGAAATCTTCTACATTTCTAGCATCGAAATGAAATTGTATATCCGGTACATGTTCACGCTCATACTTGGTTTTAATGAAACCGATTCCGCTTAATGTACTGGTCGTTGCTAATGGACCATTCTTTTTAGGATGTTGTTCTTTATAATTACGAAGTTCTTGTAATAATTCTTGGCCGGTTACTTGAGTTGACGTTTTGTTCGACAAACTAATGATAAGCGCATTAGTGGTAACGTGATCTTGCAAATTATGCCCTACTTTTAAATCAGCTAATACTGGAATGTTTAAACTCTCTAGATGTTCTTTAGGACCGATGCCAGAAAGCATAAGAATTTTTGGAGAGTTAATTGTTCCACTACTAATTATTACTTCTTTTTTAGCATATACGTTATATTGTATACCATTTTTGATATAGGTAACTCCATGAGCAGTTTTACTTTGCGGGTCGATAATTAATTTTGTAACAAAAGAATCCACTTCGATTCGGAGATTTGATCTTTTATCTCGGATAGGTTTTATAAAAGCAACATTTACTGAGTCCCTTCGTCCATCTCTAGATGTTGATTGTGCAATATCAGTTCCAATGTTATCTTCTCTATTTAAATCCTTTACTGGTAGCCCTCGTTCTTTAAAAGCTTCTACTAACATTAATGTATTGGAATCAATATATGAGAACCTTTCTACATTTAATGGTCCACCGACTGAGTGATAATATTTATCATGAGATTCGATGTCCTTGTTATTTTCAGATTTTTTAAAATAAGGCAAGACCTGCAAATAAATATAAATGCTTATAATATTTTAGTATACTATAATGTTTTGCAATATTTAACTTTGTTGAAGGGACAATGTATCACAACAGTCAATATACTTAAATTATGTTAAGCTTTCATTACTTTCACTATCTAAACTTCATTATTTATGCATAGCTATTATATGCATACATTTTTATTAATATGTAAATTTTACTTAATTATAACTTTTGTTAACATGTGTATTTGACATACACTTTAACCCCCGACGCAAAAACGACGGGGTGTTATAAGTTTGGCGTGTCTCTGTGTGTATCTGTCTGTGGCATCGTAGCTCCCGGTCGGATGAACCGATTTTGATTCTGTTTTTTTTTTTGTTTGAAAGGTGAATTAGTTGGCAGTGTTCTTAGCTATGTTTCATGAAAATTGGTTCAAGGTGGTCGGGTTTTATTTTAATTTTAGTCATTTTTTACACGAAAACACAATATTCATAAGCTTTACCTAGGTTAAAAAAACACTAGCAGGCCAATTGATAGTATAATGCTAAAATTGATGTAAATTGTTTTACTATATAAGATTATATTTAAAATATTCAGTTTTTAGTCTTAAACATTAATTATGAACTTTAGGAAGCTTTTATTACACGAAAGTCAAAATGTTATAAATTATATAGCATATTTGTTAGTTTGACCAATGAATACCTCTTTATAACTCCACCCATGATTTCCCAGCTCAGCCCAGAAATCATAATCCCGTTTATTTCCTCTCATGTAAACCATATAATTGAGAGCACTTGAGCCTCCCATTGTCTTGCCCCTTTGAAAAGATAAATATTATTATATAACAAGTTTAGGAAAATTATTTAACGAAAAAAACTAATGCACTTAAAAAAAAGGTTTTAAAACATGTCTCAAAATATATCTGTAGAACCTGTAAGCAAATTAAGCGATGTCTTACATTTCATTATTTGTATTTCATTATGTTTTTCAAGTCATACTCAAGTAACCTTAAAACGGTATTTAAAATATTTTGCCCAATCTGAAGGATATTCTTGCGTTATAGAGAAGAAAAACACAAAATTTCACATTTCTAAGAATTTAATATGGCAAATAATAAATGATGACGGCCATGTTTGACACATAATATGAGTGCTAATAATAATTAAAACGTGATAATTAAAATTAATTAAAATCTATATATACCCTTTTATTCAAATCAGTAACGTGTAAGCAATTATATAAAGTATTTTTTTAAACAAACATATATAAAATGAAGATATTCTCACCGTAAGTTCGCAATTACTACAGTTTTAGAAAGAACTATTTAGATAATTTGAAATCCCATTTATCTTTGTCAATACAACAGGATATAAAAAAGCTAGCTATTATTTAGTACAATTATATAGATTTTAAATTTATTCAATAAAATGCTAAATTTAACGCTGGTTCCTTATATATACATATATTGTGTTTTATAAATCTGCTTTGTTACGGTTATGTTGCTTTCACGTATACGATAGTTTACGACCTCAGAAGAGCCATTACTCGACCTAACTGTTGAGATGTAGCAATCGTGGCATCGTGATTTATATCCCAACCTACTCTTAATGGGACCAACATGCTATGGAGACTTAGCAAAGGGTTCTCCTATGAAAAATTTATGTTAGCTTAAATCTTCCGTAGGTCTATCTCGTTTACATTAAATAGTACATAATATTATATATTATTTTTATTCACATAATATTAAAAGATAGTAGAGTGTCAAAATGTGTTAATCTTTGTTTATTCAAGATAATGAAATGTTCATACAGCTTCTATCTTGTATCAAATGGGAACCATCTTATTTTCAAGAAGTAAATAATTTATGTATGTACATTGTACAGCCTTTGAACAATTGATGAACTTAACATTTGTTTAGCGATTTTATTTATGTTTAAACATATATGTATGTATAAGAGCTAAAATAAGGTGTCATTCTTCAAACGCTTACAAATAGAAAGTAGTTGGTTTGTTAGGGAACCTTCCTCAATAATTGGGTTATCAAATGAAAAAAGATTTTTCGTATCCGACTGGTAATTCTAAAGATTATCCCGTTCAAACAAACTAACTTTTCGGTTTTTTTTTATTAGTATCGATGTATTGATGACATGATAATAGGATCATAACATATCATCCTCACATAATTTTTATTAGTAAGCTATTGTAGAATATTATCTGGTCTGATGGTGTTAGCCCAGAGGTCGAAATTTAACAATAATCATTTTTTAAGTTAACATAATAATATTATGTATGTATTATTACATACAATTTACATACAATTATTATATATAACTAACCTTTTTATCTATATAAAAACTGTTTCCAAATTTTTAGTAATAACAGAACGACTAAAGCGTGTCAACAGCTATTAAATAAAATAAAATCGGTTGATTGACAGAGGAGAAACGGTACTGAATTGTATTGTCTTTGCCTATTTATATATTAGTAGGGGGAATAAACAGCGTCCATATAGTTTATGGACGTTTTTTTTCTCTGGCTTGTGCAAATCGGCAGATTATTGAGTTGCATACTTTTCAGCATGTAAATGGCACACCACACCAATATTTTTAAATATTTTGATCGGCTACCCAAGACGCGCGACCTTATACAGAGGACTTATATATGATGGAGGTACTCAATAGAGTGCAAAGTATATCCCCCCCTCCTCCCCCCATGTTAATCTTCCGCGCATAATTAAATCCCAAAATTCCCTCTTGGGTTTCCCTAATATATAGATTATAGATGTTTCTGACATTACCTGATCCAAGCACATGTTTGACCTCTATTAGATCTGCATGTCAGTTTTTCAGGTTGTGTTCTAAAATTCCAATCGATGCTCGATCCTGCAAGTACTGGTGGTAATCCTGGTACCATCGTCACATCAGGCTCCTCTGGTCCAGCTTCTACTAGTAATATCTGTAAAATTAATATTTTCTTAAATAATAAATGTAGTAAGATTGTATGGGCATATTATGTATATATTTGTTACTTCTTTATGTTTTAACGGTTGGATGCATTTGGATATTTAGTACATAGATAGAATATGACTTAGAGTTACACCTAAACTACAGTAAGTATTAAAACTTTTCGATAGGTGGCGTTGGTCGATTTAGATAAGATGCAGGTATACATAATGGTATATAAAAACAAATGTCGATATGTTTGTATCAAGTCGCAAAAGGCACCTAGGGATCGCGACCGAGCGAACTAATAAAGTAGGTATATGTTTTATATGGAAAATGCAATTACGTGTTAGCAGATTAGATTTAGAATTCTTAGATACGTATATTTCAACATGCACCTCAACCCTTTGATCTAGGAAATTTTATGTGTAAAAAAAATCCAGGAAGTCGAAAACCTTGCTTCATTGTTTTCGTCTAGAAAAGTGAAAGGGAATCTAACATGTTTTGTTAAGTTTAAAAGATATAATATAGAGTGGCTGTCATAATTTTTCTCCATTTTTTTTTTTATTTTGATTAATGCACGCACCAAATTTTCAATATAACGCAGAATAAACTATTAAGATTTATCACGAAGTCTGATAGCTTATAGTAGCATTATTTGAATTTATACTTTCTTATAGTTTCGTGCATGTTATTTCTTTTCTGTGTTTTTGGTGTTATGGTTTTTTTTTACTTCTTTACTATTAAAATTCTAATGATGCAATTTTTGTTATTATAAAAATTTACCTAATGATTTCATTGAGTATTTTTTCGGTACTCTCCATAGTTTTGAACTTCGTAGTGGACTACATCCACTTGAAATGTTCGTTATGTAAACAACTATATGGTATATAATTGTAAAACATTTTTATCAAAAGTTCTGATGGAAATATCGAAACAAGCAATAACAGTGAGAATAAAAAATTATGTACCAATATGTTACCAAAAAAATTATTCAATTTTGTCTATTGGAATTAAATTAATTGATGTAAAGCGGTCGACTACCAAATTAACTTGATTACTCTTGAATTTTCCGTACATTTTTTATAGAATTTCAACTTTGATATCGCTACATATTGTTAAACTGTTTTTAATAATCAAATAAATGTTTTTTTTTGTTGAATATTTTTCAGTTGAAATTATATGGAAAATATAATAATTAGCGTTTATAATGTTATTAAGTTTATATCATAAATAGTTCAGTATATTTTATAAATAGTTGCTTTGTCAGCAAGTTTTGGAACAGTTTTTCTTCGCCTTGCGATAGAGAACTTATATCAACTATGAAGAAAATGAAGAACAAACACAGTTAAGCTCACGTAATTGATCGTTCTGTAGGAAATAAAGCAATATATATCAATATATCCATACTAATATTATAAATGTAAAAGTGTTTTTGTTTGTTTTTCCCTCTTTCACGTTGAAACATAGCGACGGATTTGCTAGATTTTTTGTGTGGAGATAATTAGATGGCAGGAGAGTGACATTTTTTTTTTTTTTAAAGACCGGCATACCCACTTAAACCCAACTACCCCCCCTGCCGCCATGTGGGACGCCACGGGATCGCTCTCGCATACAACCGCGACGCCCCGACGGTTGGCCGAAGCCACCAACCATGAGGCCGCCCCAAGCGGGACAACCCCATTATGGGAAGACTCTCAACCCAAAAAAGTGAGGCCGCTCCTAAGTCCACTCTGCTGATCAGAGAAGTACCCAGAGCAGCCCCACATCACACAAACACCGCCCACCGAAGTGAGCAACCTGCAAAAAATAACAAACCCCACCCAAATTGGGCAAACCCCCCAAAGACGCTCGCGAACGAGCCCACACACAAACGGCTGCAGGAGAAGAGGATGCGACAACGCCGACACTCCCCTTCCCCTGCAGCCCCACCGCGTCCACCATCAACGGTGGTGGCCCCGCTAGGCCGCGGGAGATAGGGACGAGCGGCGCATCGCCATACCGACACTCCTCTTCCCCCGCGGCCCCCCTACCGTCGGTCCACCTCCGGACCAAAATGGCTGCCGACAACCCTCGCCAGACGCAGGACCACCGAAATAGTCCCGTTCCAGCCGCCGCACCGACGGGCTAGCCCCGGCAGTGTGGCCCGCGCAGCACCTCCTACCGCGAAACGGCCAGAGACACCGCGCTACCTCCAAGAAGGAGACGGCGCCCTCTAACGCCGCTCCCTCAACCCCCCCATCCTGGCTGTTGGTCCGCGCCGGATTGCTCCGGTACCACAAGCTCCTGTCCCGGTCTAACAGGTGCGAGTGGTGCTCCCCTATCCGCCACCCGGGGACGCGTCCGGTAGCAGTCAGCCTCTGCCCCGGAAGGAGAGTGACATAGGCTACTTGTTACCGCGGAAAATTATCTCATTCCCACGGGAAAACACGTTATAATACAAACCAAAAAATATTTATGATCAGATTATAAAATAGTTTTAATATATAGTAGCATATTATTTACTTTTGTTTGCGATAATTTATAATGTAACCATCTACTTAGTGTAAGTGGCACCGCTGATCTGACTAGATAAAACATAAATAAATATAAATATGTACATATAACATATTATTCTACAATGGCCATTGCGTTGTTATCGTGATACCCTAATTTTAAATTTGAATACAAATATAATATAATATAGCAGAAATTTTACATGTAAAATTTTACTCTTATAACAAATTGTCGTTTGAAACGGTTATGAGAATACTTGGTTGTTAAATTTGAAATCACGTTTTTACAATGAAGCAATTTGTTGATATATTTTCGCATGTATGTTTACATAATATAATAATAATAAATAAATATAATATGTTTATTAATAAAAATATACCCAAAACCGACTTTAAGTTATTATAAATCAGTAAACGAATCTTTCTTATATGAGGTTTTCTCTTAATTTTGAAATATTTAAAAAAAAATACAAAAATGAATCGTCCTTCCTACCGTACCTCCGAAAGTTTTAAGCTTAGAAATTCGACAAAAATATAAGGCTTCCTTAATTCACAAAAGAATGACTTTTGCACTATTGAATCTTAAAGATTCAAGATTAGAATTTATAGCAAAAAATATCCACATTTACTTTGGAAATAACCGAAACAAGTAAGTAGTAGAAATGGCACTAATATTTTGATAATAAAAACTTAAAAAATGAAATATATACCAACTTCAAAAAAAACTAAAAAGCAAACGAAGTCGTTTGCTTTGATTTGTATCGGCTGACGCCGACTTCAAAAATGTTTGATTAGGTATATATAGTAAATGAAAACCAATCAGTAATTTTTACTCTTTAGTGTTTTTTTTTGAAGTCGGATTTTATTTTATAAAATTTTTATTTTTCTCTTTTTAATGCAGACATAGGTACTAGTAGCAAAGAAAGAAGAAAGTATTTGAATAAAATATTCGCTTAAGCCATTTAAGTTAGTTTGATACCAATTTTTATATAAAGACTGACAAACTAAAATTCGCTGTTATTAATAACACTAAAAAATCCCAAGCCCAAACTCAAAGTATCTACTATTAGCCGTTGAAGAGTTCCACCTATCTTCTAGCCTTATCATCAGATCAGGTCGAAGATACCGAACCACTGCACTGTCAACCTAAATAGAAACACTTGCAAAGTTTGAAGTCAATATGACAATAAGAAGTAGGTTAAATTTTCTCTAGCTATTTTTCCACCCTTAGGGGTGATATTATGGGGTTTATATTTCTAACAAAACAAAAATTGTTCAAATCGGTTAATAAATGACAAAGTTCTGAGGTAACAAACATTAAAAAAAACGTGTATGTACTACGCACGTAAGAAGTTATACTTCTTTGGCGTAAAAGAAAAAAAAATAGCTAAAGATTTAATTCTGAATGTTACTACTCTCTGTTTGAAAAAGGAATGCAGCTAACTTCATCTTGTCGCTTTCAGCTAACTTCAAAACTTTTTTCAAACGTCCCAAAAGAAGTATGACTTAAATAAAAAAACAGCAAAATTGAGAACCTCCTTCTTTTTGAAAAAAATCAGTTGAAAATATAAAATATTTACGACCTACGTATTACTCTCATTTTTCCTCTCCCATTCGTTTAAAGTATAAAACCATTTGACTATGCATGGGTTCTCTTGTTGAGGGAAATATGTAAAACACCAAGTATATGGCATCATATAATAATGGTGCAATGAACTGGTAGGTTTCTGATCAGAACAAGTTTCAGTTTGATGCAAAGTTCCAATATTAATATTGAACGTCTATTGCGGAACTACTAGTTTAGCAAATAACAGAACTTAGTAAACTTCAACGGACAGAAAGTCATCAAATACGTGTATATATTAATAGCGTTTCCTCTCAGCTTTTCTTGCGTACTTAATTTATTTGTAGTTCTTCCACTCACACATTGAATTAGAACATTCTTCATTTTTAATAAGAAAGATTATTTCTTATTTTCGTCAATGTACTTTTAGGATTACGGCCTTTCATAGAAGCGTAGGTACATATTTTTCCCCTTTTAGGGGTTGGATTTCCAAAAATCTTGTTTTCTTAATATAGATTTGATTTTATTGAAACCTTTTAAAATAAACGTCATAATGTAAAGAAAGGAATAATTATTGAGTACTAATACTAGTTTATAATTATATATGATCAAACGAACTTCTCAAGTGAAGTTCGATCATTATTATAAGAGTCGCTTCATTCGAAGATATAATATAACGAGACAGTGCCTTTAACGTACAAGGTAGGTTTCCCACACATTTAAGAGATTTTTTTTTAAAGTCGATACTTATATCGATTTTTAAATTTATTCATTACTCGCCAATGTTTACATCCCCACTATCCAGTGCCAGCATTCTTTTTTCGTGCGAGTAAACTTGTACTCTTCGGGTAAAAAAATCCAAATAAAAGTGAAAATGTTCAAAAAGAAAGAAGAAGAAAGATGTAAACTAACGAGAATTCAAGAAACTTAGGAACAATAATTATTTAAACGTCT